CATAATGACTCACAACGATTAGATTGACCGATGTGAAAGAGTAAGAGTAAATCACTTGATGTGTACCTACATGATAGTTGCTACAATGTAACACAAAATGGATGGAATTCGATAAACCAGTCAAATCATTGTAGCAACGTAGATTTGTTTAGACAGATTCAGAAGGTAGTGTCCTCTAAATTGTAGGGGCTAGTACTATATCAAGCACACATAGGTTATTCTAGCCTCTGAACAGACCAATCTATTCATGCTTCTCAAGCCATTTCTTGCCTGTCACTTATTCGCATATTATTTCTAACGGTTTTCGCATGAGTGTATGTGTGCCAATTACTTGCCTTACTTATTATGTGTCTGTAACTTATGTTTGTTCAGCTATGAATATTGATTCACTCTTAGTTACATCCAGTTGGCTCACTCACCTTCTCCATTGTGCGTCATTTCATTTTGCTTTGCTTTCCGATCAACGACTGTACGAAATATACATATTCAAAAGTCCATTCTCGTATTTGACTAATTTAATTACGTTACTCACTAACACGATTTAAGTCGATGATTATAATGGAGGATAGGCAGGATATGTATTTCGACAGAAATCATCCGATCTAACTGGAGACAGATACAGAGCCACTGAAAAACAACATGACACTTAACTACTATCAGTAGGGGTTCTGTGGAGATTTTAGAAATTTCACTGATTGAAATCATGAGTCAATTGAAGCTAGACCACCATGGAAAACCTGGAAGCACTGGACGGCCGTTTCGTCCTAGCATGGGCTCCTCAGCAGCGCGCATCCACGACCCCGCACTCCGCGAGATTAGAACCCAGAACCTATAAGTCTCGCACCAGGCGGGATCGTGGATGCGCACTGCTGAGGAGTCCCTTACTAGGACGAGACGGCCGTCCAGTGCTTCCAGGTTTTCCAGGGTGGTCTAGCTTTAATTGACTCACGATTATAATCTGTGAAACTTATCAAGATAATCAGCTGATATTTCTAATGTCTGTTCTAACGTCGGGTTTTAATTGTCCAAAGTTTATTTGATTTAACATTTCATTGGTTTCTTTTGTGACGCTCATTATTACTATTGCTATTCTTGCCGATAAACAATTAAGTTTATAAATGTGGCAATGCTGTGTTCCAATGAAGAAAGTTCTTTTTTTGATCATTTCACCTAAAAAGGCTGTATAATCGTGTTTATGATTATTTTACACGTAGTTTATGATGTAAAAGAACAATGTTGCATCATCAACAACAAAGGTTTTACGATTTCCTACCGGAAGCAACTTTCGATAGAATTATATTTCATGTGTTATCCAATGTCTCTGTCATTCACGTCTATATTCCAATGTATCACGTTGGGATCGGATACTGAAGTCAGTGTTATGTAAAGAACTCGCAGACTTTTCAATGACCACCGAATTCACTTTTCCATTCAGTCGGTAACGAATCATCAGTAGTCAGAGAAATGATACTAAGGACTTGTTCGTAACCAAATATTAAACTGAGGTCAACTTGGGATTGATTTTCTACCCACCAAAAGCCAAGATGAATAATTACTTCACTTATATAGTATAGCTTTTAGTAGTAAGAAATTTATGAAGAATAAATAGTAGGAATACTAACAGTATTAATAACTAATTGGAGCATTACAACAAACAGCTTATCTAACTAATTTTCACAACACCTTTGTACGTTATAACCAATGATTATTGACCAACTCAACAGAGCTGAAATCCAAAAAGAATTTATTTAATAAAGTCTACAGGGTATGCAACCCAGACAAAAAACCCTGTTGTTAAAGATTCTTTTTAGAAGACTGAATGAATTATTCAAGAAGGTATGAAAGATTGACCGTCCCTTCAGATAGATGCTGTACTAGTTTGTAAGAGATTATGTATCACAGATAAAATATATCGACATACAACCTGCTGCATTACGTAAAATATTTCATTCTATCGTACTACATAAGCTGTTCAAAAAGTATGAAAGATCATTTGGGTGAGACCGGGCCAACAGCGTCGTAGCGTACCACCACTTTTGTCTTTTGTTGCAAAGCATTAGTTGTGAACCAAGAGGTGGCTAATCTTGTTGATTTTTTCCGACTTCGCTATCGATGAGATTATGAAGAAAATGTGTTTGTGATACTGGAAAATATAGCACCATAGAAGACGATCCCTGCGTCCCTTTTTTATCTCTAGTGTATAGGTGGGTTGCAAGGAATCTGAGGGTGGCCAAATCGAAGCATAAAATCAGGACATGGAATTATTAGTAAGCCCGTTGAATTTCTGACCACCTACCTGCTGTAATTTATTTAAGCAATTAACCCACTATGCAAAAGTATATGTAAGTTTGATTGAACACATGTTTGCGTCTCAATCTTTATCCCACCATTGATTGTTTACACAAGCAATCAATAACTTACCCACAATTAACACCCATAAATCATATATGGGTTTTTCGACTCTCACTTTCACACACTCGCTTCCCAGTGTGCTTGCCATTTGAGTAATTGCGAATGTTATTGATTATTAACGGTACACTGTCCTAACAACTGGTGTTCTAGCTTTTAAATAGTGTCGAGTAAATTCATAATACTACTAGAAGAACCGGTCTACTTAAATACTCAGCCGACGGGATTTCACCAATTAGAGTTAAATATAGGCGAAGTTAGCTTCTGGAGTGTTATTCACAAATGAACTGTTCTATGTTAATTGGCGTGGACTGCTTGGTTGGAATCCACGTGGTCATCGTAACTAGTGGTTAGAAACTTTGACGTGGGTCAAAATTGTTTGCTATAATACAGGTGCATCCATTTCTTTTCTTCCACTGAAATGTAAGCTTCTGAATTCATTTGATATTTTCTTGAATCGTATCTTCGATCCTTAATATTTTTTATTACCACTGATACTGTTACTATCTCTTCTTAGGGGGCCACACCCAGAGCACTTGACCTGAAGGCCTGATCCACAGGGCAGTGAAGCAACGTCAGGACATGCAACCCCATTGGAGCCGGTGATGAACAATAGGTTAATAAGCCATTTGTTTCCTTATGATCCTGAAGCCCATGTGCACCAGTGGTTTGGAGTCAGGGTTCTCCATCTTCCCCAGGTGGGCCGGTCCTCCATATCTACCAACTCGGTTAAAGCGCCGGACATTCGCTTTTCGTCTTCTCGATTTCGTAAACTAGACACCCGCCATGAAAAGACAGTGAGTGGGACTTCACTGGCAGTGGTTTCATACACGTCGAGTCTAATCATCAGGGTTATCTAAAGGAAAGACATGTGATTTACAGGAAATTGTGTTTCATTCTATCCACATAATGATAACCAGATTAATCCAATGTACCTCTTTAAATATACTTCCTCATATCATCATTCGATTGAATACATACATACATGCAACCTGGTTTAAATTGTGAATGATTATCTGCAAGATCAGTTCATTAAATATTGCACGTGCCTCTCTTTGGGAATATGCCTAAAACTAGGATATATCCTTTTTGAGTTGCACAGTAATTAGTTGTAAGCCATTCATAGAAGATGCGCATGCGGATAAGCCAGACTATTTGGTGTACAAATAACCAACAGGCGAACTCTTAGATGTTAGACAAGCTTATGAGCCTAGTTACTACATAGATCCTCCCAACCTACTCCTACAATAACGCAATGTTTTGGAGGTGTTTCCCTACATACAAATGCAAAATATTGCTTCATGACTGGTTTGTAACAACGCCTACAATCACAATAAAGAGTAAATTAGTTGAGTCAGCCGATCAAATTTTATCAGCTCTAGCAGGTTAGTGTTTGGTAAAATCACATCACAGATTTAGGGCTCGGATGGTCTTCCCGACTCAAGTCACCAGTGTTATAGGCGAGATGTGTCTTGAGCAAGGACCAGTTTACTAAGAAGCAGACAGTGATATTTTGCTTCGTGGACATGGAATACGGCATTTGAAAGATGATATCCGTAGGTCACTAGTATTTAGCCACAGATGCCTTCGAAGCATTGTACACGCGTGTACTACTAAGCGTTACCCATGTTGGACGCCGGGCTCCAGGTAGAGATGGGAAAATCGGCTGACGAGGTATCAAACTTTCATCTACTTCGACCATTGGGCAAGCCCAACTATCGCCTGCATTGACGTGAGACGTTTGCTGCTACTAGATTGAATCGGATGAGAGCTATGGAACCAAACTAGGATGTAGGATCAGTCCATGAATTTATTGATTGTTAACATGAGGCACATTGGAAGAGTTCGTGGGATCACCGAGACTATGGGGTGAAAATGGCTTAGAGTCGACCACAATGGGACAAATGAATTCACTAAGACCCTGAGTTTTGTGATCCCTTGCTTTCTAGTCTGCGAGTTAGCTCTTTTTTGAATAATACTGTCTGTATCTAATCTTTTCTACGAATACGGATGTTTCTGATCCTACTACTGCAGCATCTAGCTCTGCTAGTTCGATGTGGTAACTTGGACCGATGAACGTGCGCCGAGCTCTACGTTGCTCATGACTGTGTTGAAGGGGAACAAACTAAAAACATTAGTGATGGTAAGTCGACCGGTGAGGCTGTAAGCGTCACCAATTTATACAGTTGAAGGGTTACCGACCCCGCCTTTGTCGCCGTTTATCTCAAATCACAGAACTAACGCAGAGACATGCTAGAGGAAAGAGACTAAGCCAAAAAATAAGTTCTTGACGTTATTAACTACTGCTTCTGACGGAGTGAGGTGTAAGTAAACGTTCTAGTTGGTCAGTCGTAAGTAACATAACCTGGTACATGAGTGTATTGATTAATGGTCAGTCATAGTCGTGTTCAATCGTATCTGGGCTTAGTCATTGCACATTCGTCATTGTTTCGAATTTATTCATCCCCAAGAATCTACGATCGATGAACATATATGGATTTGTCTACAATGCAAACAAACACTATAAAACCGCGTGGGAGCATAAAGAAAACGATACATCAATAAAAATTTATTCATATACCAAAGTAGAACTAGAGTTTGTTAAAAGAAGCTATATCAACTGACTGCACAAATTCTTCAAACTTCATTATTTCTTCTTCTAACATATCAGTTCCAACCTGAAAAAGAGACATAGGCAATATTCTACTTTAGAGACTCAAGAATTCTGAGAATACAATTTCAATTGAACTTATTGATTAAATAAATGCTCTTGACAAACATTAGACTAAGAACGCATACCTTATCATCTTCAATAACACATGCAATTTGGAGTTTCTTAATCCCATAAGCCAAAGGGACAAGTTTTGACGAACCCCATAACAGCCCATCGGCTTGAATACTACGGACAGCCTTTTCCATCTCCGCCATATCAGTTTCGTCGCCCCACGGTTTTACATCAAAGACAACCATAGACTTTGCTGCAGGAATATCCTTCTTTGCTTTTTTCTCTTCGTAAATAGCCTGGCGCTCACTTCTTAGTTTTTCATATTCTTCATCTTCATCATCATCAGAGCCAAATAAATCGAGCTCGTCACTCGCGGCAGGCGATGTACATTTAGCTAAAAGAGAAGGAAATGCAATTTAAACCATAGAACTCTTGACTACCTGGTTCAGGATTGGCGGATTCCTGTGGAGCAGGAAACGTTTTTTGTTCCGTACCAAAAGAGCCAATATGTTTGTACCAGCGTAAAATATTGCCAAAATCTGATGATGGTGACTTCCGAGGGCTATGAAAGTTGAGACATCCGCTTGAGTAGGCTGAAACCTACAAAAATATCATTATAAAATGGATTATGGAGCGTGTTTGCTAATAATAATTCCGACACTAGCTATACTAACAGACCCAAATATTAACCCAATTATTCGTAGAACTGTTATACCAGGCAGTAATCTAGAGTTTTTAACAACACTGTCAAACATATACAAATGAACTGAGTTCATTTATTGAAAATTTAGTGGACCAATATATTTCAATTTGGTTCATTGACAATAAAAAGTTAGGTAAAAAGTGGACACTGAAAAGAAACGTCCGCATGCCAAATTGGATAGACTTTACAACGTTTCCTATGCGGTGTTAATACACCATTTAACTGCTGAGGAAAAAAAACTAGATGATGCGCTACTTTGAGAACTTTACCGTACTAGGTTGTTGCTGTAGCTTGTAAAGACATCATTAATAATTATTGGACGAACTTAACTCTAACCTTTCTATTTTTGATGGATATCAGGATAGGTTAGGATTTGAGACTAAATGAAAGTACTACATGATTGGTCTGTGTTTTGCAGAAGAAATTAGTTTCAGCCAACTCAGAAATGACAAGCATTCCACATAATTTATATCCGACGAAACTTTAATTTAAGGACTTTAAAGCAATACTAAGATATCTTTGAGCTTTCACAAAAATATGGGAAAAATGAGTTTTCACCACGGACTAACAACACTCACAATCCCATATTTTTTCCACATAGATGAACTCAAGGTTTGTAGTCTTAATTCAGATCGATTTGTTCATAAACGACGGTCAGCCCATGACTTCCAAGATGTACTTGGAATACGAACTGGCCAACACTTGGTACAACAAAAGGGAGTAAGCCCATGGCGAAATGGTTTACGGAGCAAATATGTGATGGGAAAAAATGCAAACTGAAGACTCAGGCTTTACAGGAGTTTGAAATACCAATAAACATGTACGTTCATCCATTAGACGAATTTATTACACCACCGTACATACGCAAAATTCACACTAACCCTGATATATAACTTCTGGTAAGCAGATAATCATCTAGCTTCTTCAGGGCCGAAGCGGTTTTCAAGTCACCAAAATCGATCATTCCTTAGCGTGTGAAAATTCGAGCCTGGCGCTGGGAAGAGAATTATCGGTAGAAGATAAAAACACAAGTTGATCAAACATTTTAGTAACTTTTGCCGTCAACATCAGAAACGCCACTGTACTAAAATATGTAAGGCGACTAATAGCACACCAACTCACATTCTTATATCTGTTATCACTCAAGGAGCAAAGGCTGATAACCTCGATTCTATAACCTACTCTCCTTAAGACTCTCATTGTTTGTAAGTGCTACTCATTCCCCATATGTCCACCTCCGATTCACAAAGCAATGTGTTTTGGTCTGCCTCTATTCTTTTTGTCTTGGGCATATTAGGCATAGGTTTGGTTCGTTGTACGGTCTGATGATTTCCGCAATATGTACTATCCATCAACAGCATATTTTCCAGATTTCCTTTTCAACTGGAGCATGGTTTGTTATATGCCACAGTAAATTATTGCTGTTTGTGCTCATGCGTCCGAACTGGAGGACCTTGTGTACATCTTCGCGCAAACCTTTTTGAAGATGGTTTTAGTAGTTCTGAAAGTTTCAGACTCGTACAATAGAACTTTCTTGACATTCATTTTTAAGATTTCGACTTTGATGTCTGCTGGAAGTATTTTTTTAGTTCATAACTGGGACTCGTCGTAATCTTTATTTAAGATATAAAACCCAGTATCAATTTAGATCATGAACCATCACCTGTTAGAGTTTTTTAAGGCAGAGAAATAAGTTACACCTGGAGAGAGATGGGATGCGAATACTCAATTTTACACCTACTGATATGAGAGACCTAAGAACACTGCCTAAAACGGAAACAATTTGCTACCTAATGATCATACTAAATGGTCCGGAAAAATCATAGGGCATTCTTTCAGAAAAAGTTGCTAGCTGAGGTCAGTAACAATTTACGTAACAGGCTGAGGAAGTTTTAGTCATATAGCGACAAGGTATTTGGGAGCAAGTTCAACCTATTCTCGAAGAACTTGGTAAGGACTCCTTAAATGATAGCTCCAGATATGCATTATAAATGACTCCCAGGTGTTTTGACACATTTTGTTCGTTATCGTCGTATTTATGGGAGATATTAAAAATAAGTAGTGGAGATCGTGTACATATGTAAACTTTAGCTTGGCCGAAAAAATGTTTCCATGGCAAGTTACTGTACTAAGCGGTGTGCACTATATTGTAAGATGGATCTATCAGAAAGATGTTTTCGTGACAAATATCATCTGAAATCTATTTTCGCCGTAGAAATTCGTTATTTTGGAGATCCTCTGAGAGGTTGAAGTTTAATCGCGTTGCTTTCAGTTTTCTAAATACGATTCTGTGAATTTGTTGAGTCTTCAAAGTAATAACAAGACCGACAGATGACATGGAGTCGCAGACGTATAAATTTGTCTGATCATTGTGTTCAACATTGTTTAATTTATTACAGCCTTGTACTACGCCTGCAAACGCACATTTTGTTGCTTCAACATACCGTCTTGAGGAAAAGTCCAGTAGATTGGTTAGTCTCTATTAGTGTTTACCTATTAAACGTCGCTGTAAAATTTGTTCGAACAGACTATGAAATCTTGTCTTCATACGATTAATTGGTGTCAGTTTGCAAAACGTTTCGCATTATTGAATAAGTGTTGCCAAAATATCTTACCTAGTAGTACAATAAAAGGCGTGCGCCTATTCTAGTTATCATTAAGAGGTAGATGACTGAGAATTCGAGATCGATTGCAAATTATTCAGGAATCGAAATCTTTGAATTGTTAATGTTTTTTACACCAGAAAATTCGCAAGAACACAAAACGTTCATGTACTGTGTACCATCTGCTGGCTTATTGTCATGGAGCTGCATATAATTTAACTTATACTTAATTCAGTTTTCACAACATGAGGCCAAGTGAAATTCTTATTTAATGGGACCCAATTCTGGATAATGAAATAGTTTCTGTTCTCATGGAATGGTAATGAGAAAGAGCTGAGGAACTAATGATACATAGTGACCACGACTGCCAGTATATGGGTACCATCATAGTTAACGTTCGATATGTATGTGAATATATGATTAATCGCGAAATTTCCAGACCACTGAGTTTCATTATTGCCTTCCATACTGGCTGTGTTAACAGTCTTTGAATTAGGAGTAAACCGTTTTCTATATGAAGCTCTCGAATGTTTACATTTTAATGTTCATGTCCAAAATTTTAGTCGGTCTCATGTAGTTCGGAGTAATTCGTGTGCTAGACCAATGAATTCTGTGAAATGATACACCTTACTAATTAACACTTTTTACTGAAAAGTCTTATTTAATAAGGAAACGGAATTTATTGTCCTTCAGTAAAATATGATAATCCAATGATAATAAACCAAGTAAGTGATTAAATAATTGACGTTCTATTTGTTGAGTCAACCGTGGGGGAAATCAACTTATGGAGGTCGTGATCGAACTATCAAAATTGTCAGTTGCACTCGCTCAACACTTCTCAGTGTCTCCCTTTTCCGATATTCATAAGTTAAGACGAAACTTCATGGTCGAGTTACTGGTCCCCTGGGATAGATATCTATGGATATCTATGAATAGTTTGACTGGATTTGGTGTTATTTAGTCATTCCGGCCATTATTCAGGCACAACACAATATGATCAAAATGATCTGTTATATATTTGTCTTACCAAGGAGGATGGGATTCCGAATTTCCTCAAATTGCCTAATAGATTCGTTGCAACAATGGGTATGGAGATCTCTGGACAATGTAGGTTGTAGAATCGATGTTTGAGGCGTGTGCTACAAGGATGTTCACAGATTTCATTATGTACGTTACTGTTCATTGCTTTACCCGTACATATATAGACGATGATTTTCCTAATGTCCATGAGAACTATTTTTCATCTTTCATTCTGCCTTTTATATCTGTAATTTATTTTAATCTTCACAGCGAAAAACCTAGTTTACCTGTACTTCTGGATGTTCGGATTGGATGGCTTTTATGAGAGTTCTGCCCTGAAGAATGACTTTGATTTCATGCTTGCCAGGGGTCATATATCATAGTTAGTATACGTGTTGCTTATTTATGAACATTTTCAACAGTTTTGAAATTTTTAATACAAAAGGGACTTTAAACTAACAATTATACAAGATCACTCCGAACATGTTTTCGAATGTGAGAGACTGTAACTGATATATCGGGAAAACCTAAGAATATTAAATTGTAGTTTAGTTGAGAGATTATTTTGATTTTTTTTCTGTTCGCATGACAGATACCTTTGTTCAGTTCCCGCATTTTGAGAACCATATACAGCCGATATTAGCTTAGTATGCAATATCAGAAACGTTGTCTATCACCAGACGTAACATTTTGTGCAAAACACGAGAGACGTCATCACAATTCTGTTCGTTTAGCTCAAGGCCGCCAGCATATTATACTTTTACCGTCCTTTGCCTCGTCAAGTACTTTCCTCGTTTAGTAAAGCGGCATAAATTAAGGTGGGATTAACACTTAGTTAGCCTCCAGTTAGCCGAAATCAAAATTATATGACAATAGGAAAAATGTAATGACCTACTGTTATTGCTGGTCAACACAATATATTGCTCTGAAGTATCACCGCACACATTTGAAACCATTATGAGCTTCATATATACATATATCGAAAATTTCGAACTTCAACTAACGGATAATACCTTCATCTAGTCACATATGATAGAATGTCGTCCGTAAACTTCTTTATTCCAGGGA